CCGATATCAACCGATACCGATACCGATATATGCGGCCACGTGAAACCTCTGCAATAGGCTTTATGCCGAGCAGAAGTGTGGATTAATAAATAAAAACAAAACAGCGGTTAAAGCTAGCGTGTGTGTCCGGGAGAGGGCTACTCTCCTCGGACATATTACTCTGAAGCCCCGGTGACGGTCTGGAAGTGCGGATTAATAAATAAAATAATGTGAGCGCGGTACAGCGGACCTGAACCGGTTGTGATGAGACTGTTTCGCAGAATGCGTTAGTATGTTGCGCTGACCCCTATTTTACTATTCAACGTAGAAACTTTGAAATAACTCCAAACCACCGACATAACCACAGCTACAACTAGCGTCCCGCTACACGGCCGCACACGCCCAGGCTTGTTATTGAGACGGCGCGGCGCGTTTGATGATGTCATCAAACCACGTCCTCACTTGAAACATAACAGATGTCTGAAATTATTTCAAAATCGATTTTTCGATATTGATTTTTGATGCCAATATCGGCCGATAATATCGGTGGGCCGATAATATCGGACATCCCTACTTGTTTCTTTTCCTCTTTGAAGAGTGACCTTTTACTTGTATATTTAATAGCTCAGCGTAGCAGCCCGTTTTGTTTGCAGCCTTTAGCTTGCTTCTGTTGGAGTGCTTTTCTGTTGATAATTTTCTTAGCCCCGTTATTTGGGAGTTTTCAGTTTGTAGCCTTGCTTGCCTCCTTTGGAGTGAATTTTGGTTGTTATTTTTCATAGCTCTGTTTTATAGCGTAGTCAAGTTTATAGCCTTTGCTCGCCTCCGTTGGAGTGCCCTTTTTGTTTGTAATTTTCATAGCTATATTGCTAGTTTAGTTCTAGTTAGTTATCTCTGCCACCTAAGGAGTGATTTTCTGTTCCCTTTGTTTCCCCTCTACCTGGAACCTTAGGAAATTTGTATAGCCTGTTTTTGTTTGTTGCCTTGTCAAAGAGGTATTGGAAATCCAAGATTACAATAAAGCCTGCCTCCATTTGTATCTGCTCTGCATCTGAGTCATCTAAATCATTACTAACCTACTAATAAACACTGTCAAGCATTTATATAAACTGTATATAAATGATTTATTTTGTAATAAGGCAATTTTTAAGGTGTTTGATAACTGCATTGTCATACTTTATAGACAACTTGTAATTATGCAACTTACTAACAACTTACTAATGATGCAACTAATGCTTACTAAAGCTAGTTTTAAAGCATTTACTAGTTGTTAGTTAAGACTTTTGCATGATCTAATCTAAAGTGAGAACTATCTATACCTTATTAGACATTTATAAGTTATCCGTAAAGGGTGAAGAAGCAACCATTCCAGAAGCTCACATCCTCAAGTAGCTACTTGTACTTAATAACTAACTAGTAGCTAATCTAGGAATCCATCGGCTATTTGTCTGACCACGATGTTAGCATCTGGCAGGTTATGGTGTAGCCAGCGGATATCCAGATAATGACTTCCTCTTCCATGCGTCGGTCAAGCTTCTAAATGCTTCTTTTGTAACTGCCAAAATACTTCATTTAGGTATGGTAAACAAGTTGTCTATAAAGTATGACAATGCAGTTATCAAACACCTTAAAAATGGCCCTATTAATACAAAATAAATAATTTATATACAGTATATATACATTCTTAACATAGTGTTTATTAGTAGGCTAATAATGATTTCATGTATTATACATGTTTTACTAATGATGAATTAACTATTATAAATTAACATACTAATCAGAAATGAATAATTTGTAACAGTGTTTATCAATGCTTAACATAGTGTTTATAAGGTTAGTAATGATTTAATAATGTTGTATTCATGTTTTACTAATGATGATTTAACTATTATAAATGAACCTACTAATCAGAAACAAATAATTTGTAAAAGTGTTTATCAATACTTAACATAGTGTTAGTTAGTAGGTTAGTAATGATTTAATAATGTATTGTTGATGTTTTATAAATGATGAATTCACAATTAACTAACACGTTATTATAAAGTGTTACCAAAAGCTGTACTTCATCTCTTTTTCTTAACCAGCTCTGTTGCCAGATAGTGGGATGACTCTGGTGTGGGATACATGTTGATCTGTGCTGAGCATGTTAATTTTGGAATTTAAGTCAATTTAGTCTCTTTTTTGTTTTTTTGTGATGGACAACAGAAAACTATCATTTATTTCTAATCATGCTATTAATCAAGGTGTGAATTAAGCATCAGAAAATGATGATGTCACATGAAATCCATTGCAATCTCACATCATTTCATTCTATCGATTTCCTTCTGTTCCTTCACACCGATTTAATGGGTGGAGTCTATTTTCCCTCCTGGCAACATAGCCAAGTAGGTGATCAATTTCCATACACTAATGTGACCAAACTAGACCATTTACAATCTTTCTAAGACTGAGTTCCTTAGTTGACTTTGAGATGTACTGTATAGTAATATACTTTTTACATTTTCCGGACAAGACATTTGGTAGGTGTGTAGTGGATACATCCCTCTGGGTATGTTATGGTTATTTTAACATTTTTAGATCCTGTTGTCCATCACGTTTAGAAGATCTGTCTAAACAATTGTCATTTCTATCACACCTCTGACACTGTCTAATGCAATTTCAAACTAGTTGTTTTATCTATCATATATTCTATTATTTTGTATTTGTATTTTTTGCTGAATCCGGTCTAGGTCCACAACTCATGTTTTCAAACTTCATGTTGATGTAAAATCACAGTGGTTGTTAATGTCATCTATCGATAAAGTCCTACAACCCCTGCCCTACAACCCCTCTAGCTTTGTATTTATAACTTTGTGTTCCTTCCTTGTGTTTATAACGTCTTATTTACTCTGATTCTTTGGGTTAAGTAATGCTGCTGTGAGTATACATGTCAGCATACAACAGTTAACTAGAGAGCCAGTAGCTATCTTGCTATTCATTACACATACACAAAGACAAAAGAAACAAGACAGCTTACCCAGGCCATTTTCACATTCGTTAAATTCCAGGGCGTGCACAGCACGGTCAACTCCATACGGACCCATAAGTGTCCTGGGCAGAATAACACAAGGCACAATTTTGTATTAAGTTTCATCATATATTCGGGCATGTTTACTAAGATGAAAGCTGCATTATAGGTAAGATCATTTTGGCTCAGTTTTATTAGAATTTGATAAACATCTCATTGCACACTTTTCATATGTTAGTAAACAAAATGTACCTGAGCGGTCCGATGTAAAGAGGCTCAGTTTTATTAGAATTTGATAAATATCTCATTGCACACTTTTCATATGTTAGTAAATGTGGAGGGTGTATGTGGAGTGTGTGTTGTTGATGGCTCGTTTGCCTCCTGGCCTGAGTCAGACTGATTGGACTGATTGGCTGGGTGGTGCTGCACCCAGGATAAACCAGTCATCAACACACACTCGAGGAGGAGCCACTGTCATGGCAGCTTAAACATCAGCTCGGCGAATACCACCTGCCTTTATCTCCAATAAACATCTTGCAACTAACATCTACCCGTGTCCTGTGTCGGAGGGCCCAGAGGAAAGCCACTTAGGTGGCGTGTGGCCAGGAGCAACCCTGCCACACTGGCGCCCAATGTGGGGCTCCTCCGATCAGGGCGGGACACGGAAGGGCTGCCCCCTGAATGGCAGCAACGGCCAGGGGAGGAGCGGTGGAGGGGGGGGACCTACGAAGGGCGGTTCCAGGCCCTCCGAGAAGCTACCTCCGCGGCCCAGCTGTCGGCGGAGGGAGATTTAATTCATAACAAGTCAGGCCTTGGCTGGGCAGTAATTGATTCCCACATATGAGCATGCCCTTATGTTGTTCAACAAACTCCAGCCAATCAGATTCAATAACGAGGGACGCTCACGCTCTCTTCGCTATTGCCAAATACGGTCAGAAGTAAAGCAAAAACGTCTCCTCTCCAGAAATGCCTTCAGTGCAAATTTCTCATTTAACATCATATTGGGTTTATTTCAGATAAAATGGGTTTGATTGCTAAACCTCTGACGGGCACTGTCATTGTTTTTGACACTGCAGTCGTCGATACGTTGTCGTCATCTCTTATTGAGATGCAAGTAAGCCTTTTCACTGAGATGAAAGCGCCAGTAAGGTGATTTACTAAGTCATTTCTAACTAGCAGGCTTCTGCAGTCTATGTGTACTGCAAATCATGAGTGGAATAGTTAATTATGCTTCAATAAATACTTGCAGGGCTGAATAGAAATGCACACTGAATAGAAATTTCAACTACAATGTAAAATTGGTATACAATAAGCACAATATGTTGCCTTATATAGTCTGCTATCCATGATTCATGTTCTGTTAAATATACAGTCTATACATATCAACAAGGGCTGTGACAATTTCAATTTGATATTGAAAAGCTAGGCCAGATTTAAAGCACAACGGAAAAGGTGGGTTTTGAGTCTTGAATGCAGAGAGGGTTTGGAACTCCCTCCGTGGTTCAGAAGGGAGATTCAGGGGCAGCTGCACAGAAGGCACTGTTTCCCATTGTTTTTAGTTTGGTTTATGAGATGAGGACTTGAAAGTCAAGAAAAGCAGTTCTTCTGTTTAAGGAGAACTCTTAAGCGTAATTTATATTCGCCATGATGCGCCATTCACGAAGTGTGTGGGCAGTCCACAAACAGCCATGGCATTCATAGTCACTATTTTGCCATAACAACCCCGTGGATGTGCATTTTGCGCACTCTGCTCGAATCACTGTATAAACTGTCCAAGTAGGCTCTGCAAAAATTACTGTGCATTTGTCATTTTTGTTTCACGCCAGCTTGTGCAGTTCAACCACGGCGATTAGAAATCAGGCTTAATTCTCCATTAGTAATTTGACTCTGACACCAATATGAGAGCCCAGTTCTGCAAAATATGTATTTTGTACTCAAAATGACATTAAGCCACATTTGTTTGCATAGCTTTTTGTCAAAATTAGTCTCAAACGGCATCCCAGACCTACATACATGTGGTCCTGACTAGTTCAACAGTAGAGCATGGCATTGAAGTTGCCAGGTTTAGGGGTTCGATTCCCACTGGGACCACCCGTGCTAAAAATGTATGCACTCACAGTATTGTAAGATGCTTTGAATAAAATTGTCCACCAAATGGTGTATACAGTTAAATTACACAGCATCCCCTGAACCTAGACCACAAATGTACCTGAGACCACAGGTACAGTACTGAAAAGGATGAAGTTTTTCTCTTTCAGTATGAAAAGTAGCATAGCACTGAGTTGAAAGATAGCATAGTGTACCATAGCATATACAAAAATACATAGACCATATAGTGGACAGAAGTTCTTTGATTCTCCTTGAAGGATTTTTTTGATATGAGGGTTGCATGTGGAGTAACCACAACCAACACAAACTGCTCCAGTTAATAGTCTCCATGTCTGCTTAAAGAGCAAAAGGCAAAAATTATTTAATCTCTTAACAAATGGGGATATTTCTGGCTAAGCTTGCGATGCAGATTTTCTTTCCCCTCCAGGCTCAAGTTATCCAGGGTCGGCATTACATAACTATCCAAAACCCCTTGGTTTTTGACATAAGCACAATAAGTACATTACCATATAGGGTATATCAGTGAGTTAGGACAAAAACCTGACTAAAATTATATATATATAGATATATATAGTAAAATGATATGTCTTCGGTCTATACCTCAATATTATGTATTTCCTGAATTTCGCTGGGCCACAAATATACTGGTTAGTAAACAACATGATGCCAGAAGTTACCTGCTTAGCTTCTAACTGGATTCTTAATTACACTGAAAACTACCATCTTCAATTTCCAAACTGCTAGTTTAAAATGGTTAGTTTTTACAAAGCAAAATAGAGTAGAAATAGCATTATTGGTATCCCTTGTATCTGGTCTTGTCATACAGGTTATTGTGTTAGAATCTTACTTGGTGCTTCACATCCTCCTACTACATGTCCGTCAAACTGGGGGCGGGCCCCCAGTTTGGAGAAGCCGACAGCTGTACCAGCACAGATGCTGTACTGTACAATCTACTGCTGTGAAAGAGGCCAGCAGCAAAATGTATTTTAGCCTCCTAAGAGGCCCACCTAAAAGAGGCCCACCTAAAAAAATCAATATCAGTTTAAGTATACACTATATAAGTAATATTTTCACCGCTTTACCTTACCATCAGACAGCCCTTCCCTTTGGCACTACATTTTCTCAACCGTAGAACTTCCATATTCCTCTGCACAAGTGGCACTCTCTCACAACAGCACTTTCTTCCCAAACAGCTGATCTGCAGGTGCATGGCACATTTGCACTGTGCTGGTACAGTTGTCAGCTTCTCCAAACTGGGGGCGCGCCAACCACCTTCTACTGTAGGTAGTAATACACTGACTCTAGATAAGTACATCATACAACCCCACTTCAAAAAGTCTGAACTATCCCTTTAGTGGTAATGTACAATTGATTAGCCATGTTCACATATCTTAAACTACAGACTACTATTACAAGCAATAGCAGACATCCAAAAACACTAGTCATGGCTAACAGAAAGGACAGCAAGGACAAGATGTAATGCAAATTTCATGAACGTTAGATACACTTTAAATATGTTCAGAACCTCAAACAATCATTATAAATGTAAATTTCTCTTATTCATGTAAATTACTTTTCACATAGTTGCCATAGCAGGTGAAATAATGGGTGTCTCCTAACTAGTATTAGATCAGTGTTATCTCATCTATATATACCATACCAATCTTGTTGTTCAGACTGTGTGTGTGTGTGTGTGTGTGTGTGTGTGTGTGTGTGTGTGTGTGTGTGTGTGTGTGTGTGTGCTCATGCTTTAGTGACATTATATGCCTTAATTGGGTCATAACCGTACCAGATAAAGCCACTGCATACATTTACTATTGACTACTATGTAATTATCCAAAGTCCAACCTTGTAAACAAGAATCCTCATAGAACAGAGATTAAATGCACGACTCTGGTGTCAATAGATAGGTGGCTTTGCGCACCTTTGAGTCTTTGAAAGCCGTGTCTTTGAGAGGATCATTTCAAACATTTTTTTGAATGTATATTCTACTATCGTAGAAATAATATGAACCAACAGCCCAAAATGTGGATGTTGCTGATGACCCATATAATGTATGTAAGCCAAAGTTTAAGGGTAGAATGTGTCCTTCTTCACACACAGTTCCAGTAAGGGTTAGATGAGAAGGTGAGTCTGAACTTAGTTTAAGTAATACCAAAATAATAGGCTATATGTTGATGACCAGAAACAAGTCTTTTACGTAGCTTAGACAAAGCTTAAATACATTTAAATTACTTAATATAAATTATAATATATCCCAGGACCCAGTGTTCAAATTATGGGGGAGTCAAGGGGAGCTGAGTTCCCCCGAAAGAAACCTGACATCCTTGAAAGAAAACTTGGGAGGTGTCTATAACATCTATCAAATTAAAAATGTTATTAACTTTACTTCTCTTCATTCCAATGCAATTCGCTACACGTACAATGGTATGCGTTAAAATGCAATAAAGAATAAATATAGAATAAATACATTAGAATAGCATAGGCTACAGATTATGATTTGAAAGGAACACACCCTATTTAAGACTTTGAATTGTGTAGTCATGCTACAAATGTGTCGAATTATTCAGTGATTTCGATCCTCAGGTCAATCTCAAAATGTATTAGCATTCATTCTCTTTAGGTAACAACTCTAAATAAAATCTCAAATTCTAAAAAATCACTCCCAAAAGCCAGGTAGGCCTATAGTAATTCGGACACTGACCTACCCTATTTCCACATATAAACCTATATTGAGAAATATTGTTTTAGATCGAGGCTAAAACAATAATTTTTAAGACAGTGCAAAGACAAAATAGGTATAAAACAGCGTTGGCGCCAGATCTGTAGGCTACGCATACATTAAAGCCTAATAAGAACGCTTTCCTTTCAGCATCACCTCCACGGATGCAACCTGAGCGTATTTTGCGCCCATAGTCGAAGCGCCTATTTTAAACGACTATCTGTCCAACGAGACTAAAGGGTGAAACATTCAGCAAATGTACGAACCACCACATATCACACTCAATGTCGCTGAAAGCAGAGGTCAAAGGCCCATTACCTGCAATTCCAACGTAGTAGGCTCACTACAATACAACAAAAGTTGTTCCGTTTGGCATAACAGACAATCACTCATACCTCATCCCATCTACAACGTTTACCTGCTTATTATGACGGCTCCTTTATACATGACAGAAAACGTTGGCATTTTGACACGAAGCGCACTTCCCCGGACACCGTCGCTCAGCGTTTCCCGCCCCTTTCACTTCTCGCGCCGTCCGCCGCGCGCGGTGGTCTTACCAGAGACGAAGCACACGATGTTTGCCTGCGGTGGTCTTAACGCCGAGCGCATTTACTAGTCACTTCATTCCAAAACATCGGCACTTTAACCACACACTCATGCCGTTACATAAGAATATAGAAATCGCCAAAAACAAAGCGCACTCCTCGCACATAGCTCTATTTGATTTTGTGTCTGTGTCGCCACTGACACAGCGGAATGTCAGCGACGAGTTCAGTCAGATGCTCCTCTGTTTATATTCTGCTTGGAATTCAGAGGAAATCTAAGCACATCGGGAGTCGAATATATGACCTCACAATTAAGATTAAATGTTTCGTTTCACTACATACTAAAAACATGTTTGTGAATAGAATTTTTAAAAAAAATACAACCAATACACATTGAATATCGTCCCAATTGCCTTATTCGTCTTCCCACCTGTTATGTCATTATTTGACACCCGTGTTCGTTTTTTATGCATGGTTCCAGGTGTTGAAACAAGCTTTCTCAACAAGCGGATACAACCTTTTTTAATACATCTGCAAAAACATATCCAAATCTACTGTTATATAACCTAGCACTATATTCCGTACTTAAAACCTAGGCTTACCTGGCACAACCCAGAGGCACTTTCAATCTTTGGAACATGGCTTTCTTTAGCTTTAAAATGTGTTTCGGATTGTTAACAAAAGCTCTGGGCATTCCCTGACATGTCATACTGTGGGTACTACTACGCAGTTACAAAGACACGGTCGAAGAAGAGATGATGCGCTTATGGCAAAAGGATGAGGCATAAATCCATATGCCAGGTCTCGCTATAAATATCCGTTTTTGAGAGGTGTCCTTAATTCCTCTAAACTAAATTAAATAATACTTTAGTATTTACATAATACTTGATAATACATGATTAGGCCTACAATTATTTCACAAATGTTGCCTAGGTATGGACATTTGCTGTTATGTCATGCACGAACACCAATGTAATGGTCCTTGTTTCGTGAGTTTTTTTGTGGGAAACATTGCCACGAGTAAAATAAATAGGGAATCGTTCAAGTAGTTTCATGACGAGTTGTAACAGGATACACAATGTAAATATAAATTACTTGAAAAAATGGGTATATGGAAAATTGCCATATTGCTAAAAGTTCACAGGAACAAGGGTAGAGATGGGTGGGGACTGGAGAAAGAGCTCCTAAATGAGTCAGGACACGCCACTGATATAAAGGGCTATATAAATCCAGTTGATTTTGACCAAAGTGAAAAAGTAGTACACAAAAATGACTGATATGGGAAATGTGAAACCCTCTGAACTGTAGACCCTATACAGACAGACAGTACTTTATAACTGTATCCCTGACCTCCTGTGATCCCAACCCCATGTGACTTAAAGGCTATTTATTCTTTACACAGATCTTGAGCCCAGCACTAAACATGTTGGAGTTGGAGTTCTCCCAAACTCTAATCTAATCCAGTGCACTGACAGCCTCCAGTGAGACTTGGCCACCAATATAGTGTCAACGTAATTGTGGGTATCCTGTGTTTGGAATCAACACATGCATTAGTGTCTATACCACTTGTTTTATGTTTACGGAAAATGTACATTGACTTTTGCTTTATTGTGACTGTATTAAAGTAAGTGTGGCTGATTTGTTTTAGTACACATTTAAGACATAATAAGGTCAATTAAGCCATAACACATTGAGCAATGTAATCATCCATCAAT